TTGACATCTTCATCATCACTTAATATGCCATGTTTGAGCTCAAACCCATTTCTTAACTGGTGGCAAACACCTGGGGTGTTACAAGAATCATGCTAAGATGATTAAAGATGAATTGTAGAAAATTTCATAAGCTTTCCAGAATGTCTTGTTGCATGTCTATTGGATTGTATAACTCTAGTTATGATCCAAACATGAAGTTGTTGTTTCCAGTCCAAAAATAGACATATGCTAGTTGTGGTTGTTTACTCCATGTGTTGCTAAGTGTGGCTTATGCCCTTGTTGATGGTCAAGATATGATACTTGTGACCTTGTTAAACTTGTGTCATGCTTGATGTGCTTGCTCTCTATAGTTAGTTGTGTGATGTTAGTTAAATAGCTATTGGTGTCTATGTCTTGCATAATCTTGTGTTTGTCTTGAATGCTTATGTGATGCCTCTTGTATTACCATTCTTCATATTCATGCACTTGCATCTTGCATCTCATCTAGGTGCGCTAGATGAACCACGTGAAGGACGTGATGTTGGAGCCGAACCCGAAGACGGTGTATGGTGGACCTATCCCGAAGATGGAAGGACTAAGCAAGTGCTAGGACCGGAGATGTCACCAAGACGATGCAAGCTAACTGAACTGACTTGTGTCGGATCCCAGGCAAGCCCCGGAGCATTATAAGTCTCCTAATTTATAAAAGCAATTCTTTCTATATATATGAGTTTATATATTGTTGCATTAAGTTGTAGGAGTTGATTGAAACCGTTGATGCATTTATTACTATCCTTGCCTACCTTATTACCTTTTACCCTGTTAGGTCAGGATCGAATAACTGCTTAACCTTGCTTAGACCGGTAGCGATCGGTGATATCCGGTCACCTACATTATAGGTGGTTACTGAAAGAATTTAGCTATGGAAAGAATGATATCCTGGAATTAACCATGTGTGATGGATAATTGGAGACCGGATGGAAAAGTTGGAGGCAACCAGACAGGGTTCTGGGGTGCTGTTAGTTTCCGTCTGTGTCGATTAAGGACCGATCGTTGCTCGTCCCTCTTGTCATGTTGAACGCATGCCTCACATTTAGCTGGCCAAATAAAGTATCTTTCGACCATGAAGCTAGTGGCACTATTCGGGCGGGATCTACACGAAAATTGCCAGACAGCCGATGGGGGTATGACAGGGGACGCGAAGAGTGAGACCAAGGGCGAAAGGCCTCGATTCACAGTAGGTCAGGCGGTCCCTGGGTACTGCGGCTCTAGATTGTCCCGCAGCTACCTGAATAGTGTCCATGGTGATCTAAGCTACCCTGGCAGGGGAAGCATGGTTTGTGTGAGGAATAAATCACCAGCTGGTTAGGAATCGATTTGAATCGCCATCGCTCCTGGATAGTGAGCACTTGACTCGAGCTACGGCATCGTAGTAATTATTATGGAACAATGATGGTTATCTGGATGGTATGGGATATGCTAAATCTAAATTGGTAACTGGATGTTATTGATTAATCAAGTGATTGCTATAGTACAGGTGCTTACCTAGATGGATATGTTATAATAATGATGATGCAAAGTACTTAAAATAGTTTCTTCATGATAGCTTATGCTTTTTTTCATGATAGCTTATGCAAAGTACTTAAGTTGGAGCTCACTCTTGTAGATTTGATCTTGACACCTTCATCACCACTTAACATGCCGTGTTTGAGTTCAAACCCATTGCTTAACTGGTGACAAACACCTGGGGTGTTACAAACCGCAATACCGAGGACCATACCCTGCACGCCTGCAGGGAAGTACCATCAGGATATGACCAGACATGCGCTTTAAGCCCTTCCAGGCATGTCAGAGCCCAAACAGTGTTGCGGGCGCCGACATTTATCCTACAGTGTTATGGGCGCCGGCATTTGCCCTCGGACACGAATCCTGACGGAAACATACGACAACCACTACAGTCCAAGAAGGAAACTCATGTCATCTACAGTAACGAACGTGGGGCCTCTACGCCATCTGCTCCCCATAGGGTCGTGGCTCGGCACCCTGGTGCGTCACGCCGCTCGCCGGCGGGACGGGACGTGACCACTTGCTGAACGAAGCCAGAGTACGGCCCTATCAGGATCAGCGAACGTGCTATCTCTGGCACCGTCTGTCGTGTCAGTGGGACATGCTCAAAGGAAAAGGAAGACCCGACACCTTCGAAGGACCTTCTCTGCCTCTAGTTTTTTCTCTTTCTCCCATCTGTAATCCCTGCTCCCCTTGATCTATAAAAGGGAGGGCAGGCCACCCCACTAAAAGGGACGGATCGATTCAACTCACCACGCACCACATAACACACAGCAGAGCAACAACCGAGCTCTCAGCACCTATTCGATTTTTCCATCAGAGACTTGGGACATGTCCCTCTCTCGACCGTTTGTACCCCCTACTACGAACATTTCAGTGCTAATAACACGAGCAGCAGCAGCAAACTGGACGTAGGGACATTCTGTACGAACCAGTATAAACCTTATGTCTTTTAGCACACCATCCGGACCCAACGCGCAACAAATACAAATTTACTAGTTGGTGTTTATTCAAAACACCGACAGTTGCGCGCGCCAGGTAGGGGACCTTTGCGCGTTTCGACGTTAACATCATGCCACGGATGGCTAGCCACGGAATCAGCTGGGTCCCGGGCGCACACGTGCGCTTCGGTGACCTGGACTTCATCGTCACGGTGGGATGAGAGTTGGCGTTGGCTCACGCCGCCATCCAACCTCTCCCTCCTCGGTCTCAACTACGGGAGGCTTGAGCGCCAGCTCGGCGTCTCCCTTGGACCCCAGCCGTCCAGGGAGGACCCGCCATCTCACCCTCTCTCCGGAACACCCCGCACGGAGCGCCCCGACAGCGCTTTCTGTTTGGTCTCCGCAACGCCGCGGCAACCGCTAGCCACCTTGTGGCACAGCGCATGATCCCATTGCCCGCGAAAAACGAGTTCGTGGGGATGATCGAACACGTCACGGAATCTCTCCACGGCCTCCTCGCAGAGGAGCCGGGGTCGCCCTCTAACTTTGACTCCAGCAGGGGAGCCCTCTGGCTCTGACTCCAACAAGGGTGAACGTCATCTGTAATCTGATTACTAGAAAAAGTTTGTAGGTGCACCCAAACAAGAAAATTAGAATGAAATCGTATTCATCACCATTCTACTTGGAATTAGAATTAGAATTCAATCACTAGAATCAGATTCATTTCGTATGATCCATCCAAGCAAGCCCTAAGCGCGAATGCAAATTGGAGCAGAGGGTAGGCAACATTATTGGAAGTTTTGAACAAGTATCGGTCTCCTGTCGGAAGGACGGAACTGTGACACAAATTTCAACCGGTTAGACAGGAATCGCTGGCAGTGACATGACGTCCAACGATCAGACAGGAATCGCTGACCAGCTACTGGCGGTGACATGATGTCCACTGATTAAAGACAAGCAATGACATTTTGGCCGCGTTTAGTTTCGGCCGAATTCGGCGCCGCCTGAATTTGGTAGTACTATAGTGTAATGTAGTGTTTTGTTTTTATTTGGTAATAATTATCTAATCGTTGACTAATTATGCTTAAAATGTTCGTCTCGCAAAGTACAACCAAATTGTGCAATTAGTTTTTGATTTCGTCAACATTTAGTACTCCATACATGTACCACAAATTTAATATAACGGAAATCTTCTTTTTATATAGTGTCAAATTCAGCCATTTGGGAAACTAAACATGGCTTCATCATTCCAGTTCCAGCCGCAGAGGGCGTTCTGGTCTTGCCACCCCGCAATGCCGTTCAGATCCTCTGGTACATATTTCTAATTCAGTTGTTTAGCCTGGCAGTTAATATATGTGCTTAGGGCGGGTGCCGCTTTAGCTGCCTCATAGAACACTTTTCGGATGCCGAAGAGAGAGAAGATGAGAGTGACTATGTTTTATTTCAAAACCTATCTCGCTCAGAAAGCGAGGTTGTTTGTGGGCTTGCTCATAAAAAATGAGAGAGGGTAGAGAAGATGTAGAATAAAAATTATTTACATGTGGAGTTTACGTAATGATGTGGCAATGACATAGCATGTATAAGCTAGGTACTGTCTCATACTGCTGAGGATGTCCTTAGAGTCGTTTACCCTCTCCTAATTCAGTTCAAACGTCATGTGCATTTGAGCCTAATAATAAATAGCCCATTTAGAGCATCTTCAAGAATACCCTATTTTATCTTTCAAAAACATATTGTTTTTCAACTCTAAAAAGATATTGGGAGGAGTAAATAAGATCATCCCAACAATTTCTAATAATCTAACCCTAAAATAAAAATACAATTTTACATGAGAAATTCTATACTATTTCTAAATTATGCTAACCACTTTTATAAATTGTTTCTCTCTTGAACATTTGCATAAAAACCCTTTACCACTTTTTATTCTTTTCCGCCCTTCTACTTTTAGATTGGCCGCTCCATACGTGCTTTTAGATCGGCAGGAGGGGATACGCGCAACTTCCGGTCCGCGTATCTTTACGCGTAACAGAGGTTTTTTTTAAGTGCTAAAAGATTGGGAGGTGAGATTAAGGGTTGTTGAGATAATTTTTCTCTACCTCGCCAAAAATCCTGGATTGAGAGAGTATTTTAGATACTCCAGGAGATGCCCTGAGGCCTGTCGATGGCTCCACCAGCTTCCTTTCACGACATTGAATAGGAAGCGTCGCTCACTCGACGGCCGGCCATATGGTCTGTGAGACCGTGACTGTTCATCTTCTATTTTGCTTCACCTCATTGGCGTTCTAGTGGACTGCCGACAGCTCAACGAGACATCACTGCGGCCAAATGGACACCGTTCCTGTGCACTACAGTCCATGCCCCTCCCCCCTTTATTCAATTTATGAGTCCGCCCCTGCGCTGAGGAGTAGATCGACTATCAGTCGTATTGCTCCATTCCAACTCCGGTGCGATTTTGCTCCAGGCGCGCGCGAGCAGAGCATTGGTATACGTCGGAGCTCGTGAACGGGCATGGCCATGGCGACGCCGGCGAAGCCTCACCTTGTGTTCTTCCCGTTCCCGGCGCAGGGCCACGTCACCCCGGCATTCCAGCTCGCCACGCTCCTCCACCGGTGCCACGGCTTCGACGTCACCTTCGTCCACACCGAGCACAACCGCCGGCGCCTCCTGCGGGCGCGCGGGCCGGACGCGCTGGCGGGAGCCCCCGGATTCCGCTTCGCCGCCGTCCCTGACGGCCTGCCCGCGTCAGACGAGGACGCGGCGCAGGACATGCCCGCCCTGCACTTCTCCCTCTCGACGGCGGTCCCGCACTTCAAGAAGCTCGTACTGTCTCAGCTACTCCCCAGCCCCGCGGCGAGCTGCTGCTGCCTCATCTCTGACGTCGACCACATCCTGCGTGCGGCCGAGGACATCGGCCTGCCTTGCGTCAACTTCTGGATCACGAGCGCCAGCTCGTTCATGGCTTTCCAGCAGTGCCAGCAGCTCGTTGCCAAGGGCCTTGTTCCTCTCAAAGGTAACCTGGCTAGTACTCGCTTCATTGCTTGGACAAAATCACAAAACTAACAGTTGCTGTACGCACGCAGATGCTGAGCAACTGAGGAATGGATACCTGGACAGCACGGCCATCGACTGGGTGCCGGGGTTGCCGGCGTCCATGCGCCTGAGGGACTTCCCGAGCTTCATCCGCACCACGGACCCGGACGACGCGGGGCTCGCCATCACCCTGCGCACAATGGAGTGCCACCGCACCGTCCCATCCGCCGTCATATTCCACACCTTGGAGGAGATGGAGAGCCACGTCATGAGCGCGTTGTCGGCCATCCTGCCGCCTGTCTACGCCATCGGGCCGCTACCGCTTCTCCTCTCCGGCGCCGGCGCCGGTGATCCGGCCATCGACGCGTCGTCGGGCTCCAGCACCAGCAGCCTTTCCAAGGAGAACCGCGCTTGCCTGGACTGGCTTGACGGCAAGCGGCCCAACTCGGTGGTGTTCGCGAGCTTCGGGAGCCTGGTGAAGCTGACCCACCAACAGTTGGTAGAGCTTGCGTGGGGGCTGGCCAACAGCGGCTACGAGTTCCTGTGGGTGATCAGGAGCGACCAGCAGCAGCTGATGGTGAACGGCGGAGCCGCCGCCGCCGTCCTGCCGCCGGAGTTCTTGGCGGAGACGGAGGGGAGATCCTGCGTGACGAGCTGGTGCCCGCAGGAGGCGGTGCTCCGGCACGAGGCGGTCGGCGCGTTCCTGACGCACTGCGGGTGGAACTCGATGCTGGAGAGCGTCTGCGCCGGGGTGCCCATGCTGTGCTGGCCGTTCGTGGGCGACCAGCAGCCTAACAGCAGGCTCGCGTGCACGGAGTGGCGCGTCGGCGTGGAGCTCGGCGAGGACCCCGGGCGGGAGGAGGTGGAGACGGCGATACGCCAGGTGATGGGAGGGGAGCGAGGGGAGGAGCTGAGGAGGTCGGCGGCGGAGTGGAAGGACAAGGCCGCTCTCGCGGCACGACCAGGTGGCTCCTCGTGGGTAAATCTGGAGAAGTTAGCTAACGAGGTGCTTGCTCCTCTCATGACGCACAAGCATTGAATTCGTTGTGCTCATGTTCTGGTTCAGTTGTTCTTGTTAGTGTCGGTTGGTTAAGGTGTGTCTCATGAAAAAGTTATGTTGAGTTATGAGCCGTGAAAAATTTATTGTGAAGTATGTGCCGTAGAAAAACTATAAGATACAGTTCTCTTAAAACAATTATAAAACCTATCCTCTCTCTATCTCACTTCAAACAGAAACAACTATCTATATTCATCTATTTCAAAAGGCAGAAAGCCAAAAATCAAAAGCAATGTCTAAGTTGCTTCTAAAACTACACTACACGAAAGTAGCTACTTCTAATAAAGCAGCTCCAAGTTTGACCTGTTTAGTTGCCTTTCTTTCTTTCTTTTTTGAGTAGCGGAAGCATTTTCAAAAGCAACTAAACGCATCCTTAAACTGGAGAACAGCCCGCATATAGCAGAAACCCATCGTCAGCATAAATGGATTGAAGTCAGCCCACCAATGTAAGGCCTTCTCTCGGAGCAATAAAATGTACACAATCCCAACTGTTGTCACAGCAGCCAGCAGGAGCTGAAACAACGATAAATAACCACACGCCGATTTGGCGATCTGCACGGGCACGGCCGGCTTGAAGTAACTACGTACAGCTAGAAACAACACCAGATCTGACGGCTTACCCGACCTCTAACTGCTGATCATTGTGGGTAGTGATCCGTACAGTAATCCTGGTCGCTCAGATCGTATCCGTAACTGCTGATCAACGCACAATGCTGTTCCAGCGCGTGGCACTACTCAAGTAGTCAAGTGCATGCACTGATTACCCTTCCTTTTTTTTGAAGAAAACTGATGACCCTTCTTTTAACCGAAAAGAAGAAACAAGTTCGAGTAATCGACACGCATAACTAAAATCATCACCAAAATACTGATCCATCCGTCCGGAGCATATGAACAACGTAATCTCCTTCCAAGTTCCAACTCCTGCTACATCAATCTGCACTGCTGTAATATATGCCTACTTTCAATTTCTCTCTTATTCTGGAAGCAAGCAAGCATCGTCGACCTCGCGATGGAGCATCTATGGCCCTCCCTGGCCTGTCTAGGTTCTACGTAGACGACTTCTAGTAGTGGTTATGGAGCACCGGCGCGAGGTTGGGCTTGTAGAGGCTCCTCCTCCTGAAGAGATCCCCGAACTTGCGCAGGATCGACCGCCTCTGCTTGATCTTGTGCTGCTTCATGCCGTGCTCCGTGGCGTCGTCGCCGTACTGGCCCGCCACGTCCAGGTGGTCAAACTCGTAGCCGTAGTCGTCCATGGCCGCCGCGGCCGCCGCCGCCGACTTGAGCTCCGCGAGGTTGCTCAGCGACGCGAACATCCGGTCCTTCCGGCCGCCGGGGACCAGCCTCCCAGAGTCCAGGAACGCCGCGCTCAGCTTACCCTGCGCGTCTTCACGCCTCCACTTCTCCACCAGCGGGATCTCCCGCTCTTTCCTTGCCGCCGCGAGCTGGCCCTGGAGCTCATCGGCGCACTCCCTGGCGGCGGCCTCGCTGGCCCTGAGTCCCTCGTTCTCCAGCCGCAGTGCCTCCAGGGCGCGCTCTTTCTCCGCGACGGCCTCCTGCAGGCCGGCGTTGTCGGCTCCCGCGGCCTCGAGCGCCTCGGCGGCCACGTTAGCCTCCTCGACCGCCTGCTCCAGCGCGCGGCGCAGCGCGGCGTTGTCGTCGCCGAGCGCGTCGATCTCGGCGGCGCTCTCCCTCCGCGAAACGGCGGCCTCCTCCTCGGCGCCACGCGCGCGCGCCAGCAGCGCCTTCTCCCTGGCACGCCACCCGGCCGCGGCGTCCTTCCAGTCGGCGGTGAGCGCGTCGACGCGCTCCGTGGCGCACCACAGCTCCGCCTCGGCGCCCTGGAGCAGGCCCCGGAGCCGGTCGCGCTCGGCGTGGGCCGCCTCCAGCTCGGCCTGCGCGTCGGAGAGCCACGCCTTGACCTGCTTCGCCTCCATGGTGACCGCGGACAGCGCCGCGGTGAGCTCGTCCGCCGCCTTCCGGCTCCGCTCCTCGGCCTGCGCGGACGCGCGGAGCCTGGACCGAAGACCGTTGATCTCCTCGTCCACGCTGCCGAACATGAGGTCCATGACGCTCCACTGCTGTGTCTGCGCCTGCGGCGCGGCCGGCTCGGCGGTGGCGCCGCCCTGCTGCTGCTGCTGCCGTAGGGCGGTGATCTCGAGCCTGGCCTCCTCGAGCGCGATCTTGTCCTGCTCCAGCTCCTTGGTCTGCTGGATCAGCGACTCCAGCATCTTCATCTCCCGCTGCTTGGCCGACGCCGCCTCCCGCTCCAGGAGCCGCATCACACGCTCCTTATTCGCGGCGCCGCCGTCGCTCACCCGCGGCGACTCCTCCATCTCCATCTCCGCCGCCGTCGTCGGCCGGACGCCCTCCTGCGGCTGCGCCAGCACCACCACCACCTCCTGCTCCGTCACGCTGCCGTCAGCGTCGCCACCGGCCTGCCCTTGCTGCTGCGATCGATGAGTCCGTCACGTTGAGACGTTTACTACAGCTGCTGCTACCACCATGCATTCCGTTCGCGTCTAATAGTAACAGTGGACAGAGAGAGGTAGTAGGCACATCACCTGGGACTGGGAGACGACGAGTGGCGAGTACGTGGAGGTGGTGGACCTGCTGCGCTCGTGCCGAGGCTTCATCTGCCTGGGAGAGGCAGGGAGACAGAGGCGGAGGCGGAGTAGTGGTCCACGGCCCGGAGCCCCAGGACCTGGATCTGCACGGCGCGCGAGAACTCGTCAAGAATTCAGTTCAGAGTGGGATCGGAATGCTCTGTCTCCGGGGGATATATAAACAGTGGGTGGCAACTGACAATGGCATGAGAGTGAGGTGAGAGGTTAAGGTTATACAAACAGATTAGAACCTGGAAATCAAATCATAGAAGAATTGAGGTGTGCAGTGCAGCTCGGCAGGGGGGTTTGGAGCAGGTGAGATTGAGAAAGAGACGCAGGCTTGACCTCCAGCACGTCGCGTTGCGCACGTACTTTGCGTGTGATCCCAGGCCAACCGTCGGGTTGTTGTTCTTCTTCTTTGATTATCTACCGATGACTACTGGTGGTATGCGCGCGTGATCCAATGGCGATGGGCTGCTAGTATCCCATCGATAGTTTTATTTATTTATTATTAGCCAATCAACACCACATCCGTCTACTACTACTACTAGATATCTAGTGTGAATCCAGTTTTTTTTTTTTAAAAAAAGATATCTAGTGTGAAGCTAGAGCATGGAGAGCGGTTATACAGGGTTGCTGGTTCCATGTGTCTGACGAGCAAAGAAGGGCGATCATTCAAAGAGAGCGCCGAGCAGGCGCGGCGGCGTCAGCGAAAAGCGACGTGGAGCGGCGGCAGTTGCGTTCGCGTCATCCCACTGGAGTGGATGGCCGCGGACCACTCGACGTGCTCGCTCGCATCACCCTTCACCTGCTAGACTAGACACGATAAACTTGGTGCTCGCACAGACGCCGTCGTCGGATCCGATGGCAGGTGGTCGGCGTACGTCCATTTGACGGTTTCTTTCACCACGGACAAGGTGCATCGGCCTGTCCTGTTCAGAGACAGGGGCGCCCGGACTCCTTCCGTTCCATGCTGCTGAATATGGACGGCTTCAGGTTCAGGTAGACAGGCACTGACAATCCAACGAAACGAACTCGTCATGACAAGCGCTCTGCTTAGTACGTACGTACGGCTGTACGAGCAATCGAACGAACGCTTCTTTTTTTCCGAAAGCAATGGCAACAGCGATGCCCAAACCAGCGAGGGCGGAAATAGAACCAGAACAAACTGACGGTGCGACATCAAGGCAGAGCAGCGCAAGGACAACCCTCCCATGGACCATGGAGCTCATTGCTCAGTGGGCTCGGCTGATCTTGCGGCGCACGGCCACCCGATATTAACTTCCAAACAATTCAGGCATTCAGCCCACTTTAACTCGCAATGGAGGACCGGAACGGGCGCCAGAGAAGTTGAAGAAACTGGGCAAAACTGACAAACAGACGAATACGATGAATATTCAGAGGTTCAGACAACCAAATCCGTAGTTAGGCCTGGATAACATATCACGACAACCGACTACGCTCCAAAGCAAAACGAATAAAAGACTCCGTGCAGACTCCAGACACGCGAACTGCCAATAGCATGCGCATATACTACGGCTACAGTCAAACTGTGACCAGTACAGTTTATACTAGATTATCTTTTCACAAAACCTACAGGGCGAGACGAACACAGAACGCGCGCAGAGTTCTTTTCTTCCATCGAAGACAGACTTACGCCCTCTCGCCGCGGATCCTCCTTGCCAGCTGAATGTCCTTGGGCATGATGGTCACGCGCTTCGCGTGGATGGCGCACAGATTAGTGTCTTCGAAGAGACCAACCAGGTAGGCCTCAGCTGCCTCCTGCAGAGCAAGCACCGCGTGGCTCTGGAAGCGCAGATCCGTCTGCACGGCAGTTCAGGAAAGTCAAGTAAGAACACGCTCTCAAACAAACTCTACAAACCTTCCATTGAACCCATATATAGCATAAATGTCGCATGTAAGATTTTAGTGCTTTCACCTTGAAGTCCTGAGCAATCTCCCTGACAAGCCTCTGGAATGGCAGCTTCCTAATCAGCAACTCAGTGCTCTTCTGATACTTGCGGATCTCACTAGAAAGGAAAAGGTTGTGGGATAAGTGTTTGAAGAATATCTTCAACCAAAAGATTTATAGTATCAACTGAAAATAGTTGTGTGCATCTACCGAAGAGCAACAGTTCCTGGGCGGTAACGGTGAGGCTTCTTCACTCCTCCAGTTGTGGGTGCCGACTTACGGGCTGCCTGTCAAAGCAGAACCACCATGTTCATCAGTCATCAGTTCTCTAAAGCATGATTCTGTAAGCAGACTGCAGAAGCATACACTAAAAGGAACACCTAACGAACCTTTGTAGCGAGTTGCTTCCTAGGAGCCTTTCCTCCAGTGGACTTGCGAGCAGTCTGCTTGGTACGCGCCATCTAGTCCTACACAAAAGACTGAATTATAAAATAACTGCAAACTGAAATGAACATATACAATGAAGCTCTGGCTACAGATCATGCTCAAAGTCTACAAATCTTCACAAAAAGAGATTCAAGCACACAGTACACAAGTCTCAGGTTAGTTCACACCCAGTATATGTTACCTAAAGGAAGTATTAAGAGATAATTGTTCTTTTTTTTTATTTGACAATTACAGTACATCACCTATGACTAAGTCAAAGTAAAAGAAAAGGTGATAAATACTCCATCCGTTCCAAATTCTAAGTCGTTTTGGCTTTTCTAGATACGTAGCTTTTGCTATACATTTACATATACGACTTATAATTTGGAACTGAGGGAGTAGAAGAAATGACAGGTACTCCACAATAACATGAAAATAAAAGGCGACGTGCAGAAAGTAATTCCAGTTACTCCACAATAATAAGAAAAGAAAAGGTGATGCATAAAATCCAATGGAAGGGAAGCTTTCCATCTCCATTAACAGGTTGCATCTTTGCATAAGCATAAGCTACTAGTTTACCTAACTGTTTGTTGTATACAAATATTACAGATAGGATGAGTTTTGTAAATAAAGCTAAACAATTAGGCATGGTTGCAGGTTTCGAATAAAAAGGGAAGTCCAACAAGTTCACCATATCTAATGAATTCTACTATCATCACTAATACTATTTCTCCTCACAACCTTACCCTGCATCAGGGTTAGCTGGCTACAAAACTAGTTCATAAACAGATCTTGTTTGGTTTGTTCACGCTTTTGCGCACACAATCATGAATTAAATGCACACACAATCATGAATTAAATGCATATCTTATTCAGTTATGTATATGTACTTGCATGCACAGTATTGATTTTAAACTTTGTAACTATTCAATGCATAAATAGCAATGGCAGTGTCACATGAACTATCTTAAGCAACATCAGTAAAATATTTTCCAAAAAGCAGGTGCATGTGCACATAGGTATTTTCCAAGAAAAGAAACTACAGGTAAAATCTTTTGTGCTTCAACCAATGAGGCAACCAATGCATGGTTACCAAATCAAATACATAAAAAACCTAAACATCTTACACCAGATTGTAAGTACATTAGCGGCTGGAATAACAAACACAGGACACAAAGCAAGTTAATCCGAACTTTCAGTCAAATATACTTCAGTTGAAATTGCATTTTCCATACCACAAATGTGCCAAGACAAGAATCCCAGTTTCATCATTTAGCAACATTGCAAGTGTAGTTTCCAGACAAAACATATAACGTTTTCACCCAGTAATGACCTGAACAAATCTGACGTTTCAGAACAAGCTATCTTGCAAGTGAGGATCAATAGTCTGTTCCTATTCAGCTGTCCTGACTAAGAAAATAGCAGAATCCTTCTTCAAATGAATACTGCGTGCACAAATCTATTGAAACCATCCACAATTTTGCATAATGAAAATACAGGGCGCCCTGTCTACTTAATTGAAAGGCAGAGCTCCTGCCATTGCTTTCAAAACAAGCATAAAAGCACAAGTATAACAGCATCCATTCAGCTTCATTTATAATCACTGATACGAAAATTAATATCAACTTTCTGGCCAGGGGCTGAGGGAGGACTGCCCTCTCCTAGATTTTTCCCACAGCAGCATTCAAACAACATAATTACTGTTTGGGCGCCCCTAACAAACCCTGGTTCTAGAAATCTATGTGAAGAACTAAAAGAAGACAGCAATTTCAACAACAGAAGCACAATGTTGGACGATGATGCAAGCCACTAGCCCATTGAGAAATCCCAACCTAAGCAACAATAGAAGCACAATGTTGCAAGCCAAAAGTGGCAGAATCTACCAATCAATCAGAGTTAAACACAGACAGCAATTTCAACACACAGACTCAAATCTAGCATCCACAGAATGATTCAGCCCAGATGCAAGGAACTACAGAATCTCTAACCTAATCATCCGGAAAAACGGCCGCTCTCGAAAAATGCACATTCGAATCTAATCCCCGATTTCATATATGAAACATCGTAATAAAGTACCGACAACACGTCAGAAAGCATAATAGGACGGTAAAACGCAAAAATTAGCAAGTATACGCAAAGGCACGACTAAATAAACAGATAAGAAAAGGGCGGAGGGTGCCCCCGCGAATCATCCTCGATCGCATCAGGCGATTCGAACGAAACCCTAACCTCAAACAAGCGCGCGCGGCTAACCAACGTCACCCGAAACTACAGTTTCCAGACAAGGGAAGGCGCGGGAGGGCAACTCACCTCTCGACTCGACTCGCGGTTAGCCGGATTTCCTTCCCCAAATCTGGAGCGAGACAACAACGGCCCGGAAAGAAGAGGATTCCTCACCTTTTTCGCGCAAACAGACGGACAGAGCCGCTGACCGCGGAGTCCTTTATAGCGACGAGTGGGATACGGCCGCGCTGCGGTTGGAGGAGGGTACCGCTGGCGCGAGAGGCGTGGGCGCTTTGGCCAGGGCCAGGTGGATCGGATCGGACGGCGCGGGGCGCGCAGGCGCGGATCGAGGCGGCTGTGCCCTGCGCCGTGATGGGCTGTTTAGCGGAGGGCGCGGATCGTTGGCTGGGCTGGGCACGGATTGGGCCTGTGGACCGGCCGGAAGAGCATCTCCAAGAGTATCTTAGACCCTGTTTAGCATGGTTATGGAGCTGAACTTCAATTTTCCAACCAATTTTTCAAAAAACTCTAAAGCTCCCCATGGAGCTTCTAAAATCCATGGGAGCTGCCAACTCCATGGAGCTGTAACTGGCAAAATAGATCTAAATGGAGATGGAGTTTGCCCACTGAGCACAACTCTTTTTTTCTCCTACTTCTCTAGAACTTGCCAAAATAGATCTAGACGTAGAGTCTCTCTCTCCATGAATCCAGCGTACCCGGCGATCGCCACATGGCGATCAAGCCTACATTACACCTCTCGAACCGTGCTTTTCTTTCTATTCTCTTCCCTCTACTCCTCCCACACCCTAGCGGAGAAGAGAAGAAGGTCCTCTCCATCCCCAACCTCCTCCCTCTCTCTCTCTCATCTCTCAGGAGAAGAAGGAGAAAGAGGCGGACGTGAAGCCCCCGTCATCCCCGCTGGCGCGATGACTAGGCGACCTGTCCACGCCACCACCTCACCCCGCCTGTGGCTGGGACCTCACGCCCACTCACTGCCCATGGCGCCACCATGCTCCCTCTCTCTTTCCTCAAGGACGGACTCTCTCTGCTGGCTCCCTCTCCTGCTCCGTGGACGGAGCTCTCATGGCCAGCGCCCCTCTTCCCCGTAGACAATGGTGAGTTCCTCTGTAGCAACCAACAAGAGAGGATGACATGCGGGTCCTACTCAAAGGGCAAAGTGGGCATTCTACACGATTGAACATGGTTCTAGAGCTGAGACTATCTTTCTAGCCAAACACACTAAAACTCCAACTCCATCCCCTCCCCCTTTTTCCTTTTTATCTGGAGTTGGAGCCATGCCAAACATGCCCTTAGTATCTTAGAGAGTATTTGGTAGGCTGGCCTTCTCCTTGTCCAGGTTTGGATATGCAAGTTTTGTTTGTTTGGATGCCTGACTAGCCTGTAAGCCAGGCTTCCGCAAGCCAAAAAGCCCGTCAGTGCCTGCATTGCTGGGCACGCTCAGGGTCTGCGTTTCCACGAAGCCAGGCTTGTATAAGCGCAGTAGCCCACATGTCAGGATTCGGCTCACCTCCTTCTGCTCCTCCGCCACGCGTGACTGTCTTCTTCATCTCCGTTCTGGCCGACTACTACTGGACGGCCGGCATGACCCTGGCCTGCGGGGCGCGCCACCCATCGACGCGCACTGCGGCGAGGCCCTCGTCGGCGTCGGCCTCCCCACGCTACGGGCTGCAATCCTTTGCCCGCCCACGTCTCTCGCTTCGAGCCGCTGGATCTGCGGGCGCCATGGCCGTCGTCGCAGCAGCACGCCGACAAGGACGACGCCATTCCGTGCATGGCCGCACCCCACGCGACCCAGCGCGCCATCTTCGTCACGTGGGACTCCGATGTGCTGCACCAACTTCCCTCCGATTTACTATTCGCCACAAAATCAATCATGCTCATACAAAAATTGACATCCAATCTTGCTTCCAGTCATCCGAATCGAGCTTGTACGTGCTACTTCCAGTCATCAGCAACGAATCGAAGCTTGGCGGTGTCCAAATTGAAAATTGATTGTCTTCAACCATAAGAGGGGCTTGGAAGTAGCACATCGGTGATATGCACCCTGTTGGTTTGGGCTATTTTACTTTTACTATTGATTGGTTCGGTGTAGAAAAAAAACACGGTTCGAACAATGGTGAGTATAAGCCTCTGAATCAACAACGTGACAAGGTTCAGAAGAGGCGTGAGCCAGCTAGGATGGATGCCAGTGGAGGTGAAGCACGGGGAGATGTTCGTCCTGGGGCTGAAGATGGCCGCCGACTGTGCTGCGACGAGGCCCAAGATGGCCTTCGGCTGTGCCGCGGTGAGGTCGTCTCCTCGGTGAAGAGGCGCTGGCCGATGGTTGCAGGGGTAAGTCCACCTCTGTCTAGCACACTGTCATTCTACTTGTGCAGCCAAGCAACCAAACAACAACTTTACTACACCGGCTTAGCTTATATGCGTAACCAAACAGCAGCCAGTTACATTGCTCGGGCCAGGTTTCAGCTAGCCAGGCTTGAAATTTAAGCCAGGCTATACTAGTCCACACAATCAAACACAACCATATTGCTAGCGACGAGAAGTCAAAATATTAAAGAAAACAATACCTAGATGAGAGGGGACCCAAGGGTCAGAGACAGGGCGTTCTTGGATTCCATGCGAGATAGTTGTTTCATGACTCGCTAGCGAGTGTACCTTTCGCGTTCTTTCTCATCCAACAGGCTTAAAAAATAATATATGCTGATAATTTCAGCTCCTGTCGGGGACGTCATTAGCAAGATTGAAAAAAATCCTCAACAACCACTCCTAATTCATCCGCCCAACTTTTGGCACTTAGAAAACCCCCCTCAATCCACCTAAAGTTCCGCGCTCTTCCGCTCGCGCATATCCGTCTCCCCCGCGCGGTCTCCTTTGTGGCGCCGTCTATTTGGCGCGGGATTTCCCTTCGTTGACGAGGGCGTCGGCGAGGGGCTCTGAGTGCTGGGCCATCATGCCACCGTCGGGGTCGGCGATCTTGACGCCGTTGCCGCCGACGGGGTTGTGGGAAGCGGTGATTACGATCCCGACGGCGGCGCCCGCGAGCTTGACGGAGCGGAGCGCAGCGAGGATGCTGGCGCGGCAGACGGCAGGCATAGATCTCTCCGACACGCAGGAGGCACACGACGGACGGCTCAATGCTGGCGCATGACCTAGCCCCGCCAGCGCTACCGAACGTACGTCCTCGGCGCTGGCGGACTCAACTTCGACGACGACAAAGTCTGGGAGTGCGAGCCCGACTTCTTGGCCAGGTATGCCCTCGCGCGGCTCGCCGGGGCAGGCGGAGGGACCATCGAATTCTTAAGCAATTTGTGCTTCCAGGCCAGCCCCTCATAGGAACACTGTTTAAATCAACCAGCCAGCGGTACTTCTCTCTTGAATAAACGAACCAGCAATGATATGAACCAGCCAACTGAACAGGCTGTCAGTTCAGTTTAACCATCTCGGATCACACTGCAATGGAATCGCATTAGATCCTCTTGTGTTTGTTCATTTGAGAAAACAAAAATTTAACTTCAAGTGATTTATTGGAAAATCCACTGTTCTCCTAAACGCCGTTTAAACACCCCGCAAACGCTACACAGTGATGCGTCGTTTCTATTTAATTATCCGTTTAGCCCGTTTAATTGGCTGTTTAGCCAATTTAATATACTGTTTAGCCTAAATAATAGCTAAACAGCAGGTGACTTACCGTTTACCGTTTAGCGTTTAGAAAAACACTAGAAAAATCTTTGAGATGGCATTCTTTTTTCTCTCAATACCTTTTTAGAGTTGGAAAACAACATGTTTTTAAAGACAAAATAGGATACTCTTGGAGATACTCTAACGTACTAACTCGGCTTCAAGTTTCTCTTGTACAAGAAGTATACGCCGTGCGTTGCCGCTGGATTTTCTTAAAAATAAATCTGACATATATATATATATATTGCATGTTATTTTATTGTACCAGATCTGATAAAAAAATCGGTAAGCTAGTAGAAGAAAAATCAATAGAATATTTGATTATATTATTATAGAAGAATAGGTGATGAAACAAATAGCGTATGTAGATGACTTGTATGTGAATAGATTAAATGTTTAAAGTATTTTCACAAGATAGGGATGGCATGGATATTTTTTGTAATCAATAAAGGATGCCATGGACTTAGTGGGAAATAATGTGGACACCTTGCATGAAGAGATATAACATTTAGTAGGGTCACTTAGTGGAGAATGATATGGACACCTTGCATAAAGAGAGAAATCATCTAGTGAGGTTTAACTTTATAAGAGTATATGATATGATACTGCCTCGTCTCTTGCCTCCGTCATCCACTCCACGTGGGACTATGGGAATGGGACGCTGGCATCGAAGTCAAGTCAGTCGGTCTCACCCGGGTGCGTCTTCGAGGAAATTGTTGTGGTCGTGCGGAGTAGCCTACTGGTATGACGTTGGAGCTGCCAGACTGAAAAGTACTGTTTGCTGATTTATTACGAGTGAAAACACTGTACCATGACTGATAAGCCAGACTAATAAGTTCAAACGAAGAGGGTTGTTTTCTACAACTTAGTCAATGCCATCAAACTGATGAGGAGAGAGCATAGTCAACTTAGTCAATGCCATCAAACTGATGACACCATGTGCATCTTCTTACACCATGTGCATCTTCTTACGAGAGAACGAATGCGATGCGATAATTTTAGTAGGTAGGGGAAGAAAAATATCTCTCGTAGTGGTAGTGCCGTAGTGGACTAGAGTTTGGTTTATCTGTGCGAATCATATCGAGTTTGCTTAGGGTCTGTTTGATGAACTAGAACTAGTGATTAGTCTAACTAGTTAGATTCTATAGACTAATGAACTAATAATTAGTTAGAGCTTTAGCTAGTTGTTAGACCCACCACTGGTCCACCTGTTCGGCTGTTCCTTCTTTACTAGCGAATCCAGACCCGTTTAACGCCAGTGCACCCGAAGCCCGTGCATGAGGAACCTGCCGCGTCGGTGGCCGCACGCACGTTATAAATTCACCCGCTCCGTCTCGACGCCTCTCCCACCAGCGCCCGCACCGCACCAACCCCGTTTTCCTCCTAGTCAGCCCCAAAACCAAAACCCAAACAAAACTTGTCCTCCTAGGACAATCGCCGACGTCGCCGGAGGCTTCGCCGGAGCAGCCAGCGCCGACGGTAAGACATTCCCGGCCCCGCCGCTCCTTCCCGTTGTCCCGCAAGGCGCGAGGAATCGCCAGCTCGGCTCCCCCGGCTTGGCTTGTGTACCAGATCTCGCGTTCCGACGGGGATTTTATTGAAATTCGAGCTTGTTTGCTTAATAATCCGGCGCGCGCTCTGATGTGATTGCAGGTTGCTTTGCTCCTCCTCGTCCGGCACAGCGGTCAAGGCCAGCATGGCTTCGATTGCGCCTCCGTCTTCCTCCGTCGCTGCTCTCACCCGCCAACCGTAAGAAGCTGCTCTTGCCTGCGCCACTCCCTCACCAGTCCCCGCCCGTATTGCTTGTTCGCATGTTTGCGCCGGCTCGGTTTGTTCTATAGGAAACAGGAGGGAGGGGTTGCCCCTACCGACATTTCTTTGTGGCTCGGTTTGTTGATCGTCTTCGTCTCTTCGATTTGGTCCGCTTTGGAGCACAAAAATCGGCACGAAAGGCCACGTTTTTGCATGCCTGATATAATCTATCTCAACCTGTGTGAACTTGTCAGTAAACTGAATAATTGATAAAACGCAGGAGAACATAGTTGCAATTTTTACATGACAGTGATGTGAAAGAGTATCCTTGGCAGTTGGAACTTTTTCGAAAGGACGGCAAAAGCTTCGCCGCAAGTCTAGAGACAAATATTCTAATGTTCATTAATAAAGCCACGCTCATTTTCGGCGTCTGAGAACGATTTTTGGTTTCTGATTGCCTGTTTGTGACAATGCAGGGTGCAGTTCTTGGAAGGGTGCAGTGTATCCAAGGAGACAAAGGGACCCTTCTGCAGTTTCTTCGCTGCAAATTCAAACAACACCAAGGTGAAATCAGTGAGCTTGAGAGTAGCATCATCCTTCAAAAGTGATGGTAGTTATCCATCTGGCGGTGTCTCTGCGAATGGCGACACGCTATTGCCAAAAAGCACATCCATCCGTGGCCAGGACCATCCGGTTGCTGACCCTGTACTCCCAATGGATTCCATGATTACGCCAGAAATCCTCTCTACTAATTTGGCACGTGTTGTGGAGAAGTTCTCAGATGATGACACAGATACTGAGCTTGATTTGGATAGCCCGACAGAGGGCTTCGCATCGATTGCAGATGCCATTGAGGACATACGACAAGGAAAAGTTAGTATATCTTGAAATTTTCTTATGGTATCTTGTACTTCCATCTCATCTAATGCTGTGCTAACATTGGTTTGTACTTGAAGCTTGTGATTGTTGTTGATGACGAATCAAGGGAAAATGAAGGAGATCTGATAATGGCTGCCTCCTTGGTTACCCCAGAGGCTATGGCTTTTATAGTAAGGCATGGGACAGGAATTGTTTGTGTCAGCATGAAAGAAGATGATCTGGAAAGACTGAACCTTCCTTTGATGGTTACCACAAAAGAAAACGAGGAGAAGCTATGCACTGCTTTCACTGTTACAGTGGTATGATATCATCGTCATTACTATTTTGATGTTGATATGGTAATCTTTTGTTGTTTTTTGTCAGAAGTATGTACACGTAGCATTGTTGTCTTCACGATTGGTTTCCGTATCAAATAAATAGCTCATACGCAGGAGCTGTTGCTGTTTATTACATGCTGAAATAGTAGATGCGTTGATCGAGTGATTTTTGTTCATACTTAGATTTCTAGAACAGCTGGCTGTTATCCATTTGAATTCAGTTTTGCTATGTGATTTTGTTGTCCTGGAACCTGTTTTTCGTAAAAGGAAAAAAAACTTCCTTCTTTACTGTTCCTGCTACCTTCCTGCTGTGGCAATGAATTTGAGATAATTCTATACTGTTCTTTTTGGACAATGTGTTGTTTAGTGTTCTGTCACATGATTAGTTTGCTCTTTCTTTACTGTTCCATTCAGATAGTGACTCTGCAACACTTACATTGTATTGAATATTAAAAGTGAGCTAAGTTTCTATTCTTTTTGTGTTTATAGGCTTACTAAGTTAGCGATGCTTATAGCTGTCTATTTCAATGATTTAGGGAAATAGCTATCCAACTTGCCTATTTATGATCTGGTCCCTATGAAACTTCTTCGATGTTTTTTTTGTCTGCTGCTGAGCTATGTATCTGTAATGTTTTGCTTCTCAGGATGCAAAAGAGGGCACAACTACTGGGGTATCTGCCAAGGATAGGGCAAAAACAGTCATGACTCTTGCATCTCCTGACTCTAAGCCTGAGGACTTCAACCGCCCTGGTCACATTTTCCCTTTGAAATACAGAGAAGGGGGTGTTCTGAAACGAGCTGGACATACCGAGGCATCTGTTGACCTTGCTATGCTGGCTGGATTACCTCCTGTTGCTGTCCTTTGTGAGATTGTGGATGATGCAGATGGTTCCATGGCTCGCCTACCAAAGTTGCGTGTCTTTGCAGAAAGGGAGAATTTGAAGATTATATCTATTGCTGACTTGATTAGGTGAGTTTGAATTACAGAAACTTCAGCTTCTGATGCTTGACATGTTGCTACTAAGACAGTAGTCAGCATCTAGCTAGCATACGTCAATGTGTCAGTACCACTTTCACTTACCATTTAACACTTTTCTCTTCGATTATTTCATAATTACACTAAAACATTGTTTGCTGGCAAAAAAATAAAAGGAAAAAAGGATCTGAAAGTGTTTTCAGGCAGAGACCTACAATTTTTTCTCTATCCTAGTTGTACCATATGATTCATAGTGAGGTACTTCATATGGTTGCAAGATTTTTTTTTGAACAAGTATGGTTGCAAGAATCATATTAGTTCCTATGGCTGGCTATGTGCATGCCTCTTCGGTGTTCTTATGTTCTGTTGCTGGTGATCCTTGAGCTATTGACTGGTATGCTAACAGGATTTTATCTGTTTCAGGTATAGGAGGAAAAGAGACAGACTGATTGAACGTGCTTCTGTTGCACGCTTGCCTTTGAAATGGGGCAATGTCCGTGCCTATTGCTACAGATCTGTTATTGATGGCATTGAGCATATTGCCATGGTGAAAGTAAGTCACTGCAGTACTATTTTGCCTCTGTAGAATTTAGTTTAGTAAGGTATTACTGTTTGTACAACACCTGATCTAACTATCAATCTCATACCCAATGATCGTCAGGGTGATATTGGTGATGGCCAAGACATTTTAGTGAGGGTGCACTCTGAGTGCCTCACAGGCGACATTTTTGGATCGGCAAGATGTGATTGTGGTGACCAGCTTGCGATGGCAATGGAGATGATTGAGAAGGCTGGAAGGGGTGTATTAGTTTATCTCCGTGGACATGAAGGAAGGGGTATTGGTTTGGGCCACAAGCTTCGTGCTTATAACTTACAGGATGATGGGCGTGATACTGTGGAAGCTAATGAGGAACTTGGTCTTCCTGTGGACTCACGGGAATATGGGATTGGCGCACAGGTAAAACTTAATTATCTCTCAAGTTATTGTGGAACCTTTCTCCATAACACTTCCTTTTTTCTGAAGTCTGCTGGTGTAGGAAAGTTGTATGATACATTTTTCTAGAGCTCCAACTTGAATTTACTTGAAGGCATTGAAGAATTTCATGCCTGTTGCAGTTCTGAAACTGTAATGTGCATCGAGTGAAGTAACCTGTCGTGTGATGAGTAGGTCACTGACATTTCACTACTTTGCAGATATTACGGGATCTAGGAGTCCGTTCAATGAAGCTGATGACTAATAATCCTGCAAAATATAGTGGTCTGAAGGGTTATGGACTGAGCATCGCGGGCAGGGTGCCCTTGATTACGCCAATTACCAGTGAGAACCGTAGGTACCTGGAGACCAAAAGAACAAAGATGGGACATGTATATGGATTGGCTAATGCGCAGGCTAACCAACCAAGTGGCAGCCAGAGCACAGAAGAGAAGCATTAGGCCCAACAAAGCGCGTCTCCATCCCAATTCCAGCTTGGTGGTGGCACAAAGAGTGATACGATTTCTTCTTTTGGGGAACACGTGAAATTATCTCCCCACATATTTCCGTAGATTCTTTCGCAAAGAAGGCGGCGATGTTTCAGTAGATCGATTTGTTCTTCAATTGTAACTGTAGGTTTCAAGATGGCTAATAATGAATGGCGTTGTGGTTGTCCCGATGGAGTTGTGATCGAATGGTGCAGTGGCGGAGCCAAGATTTTGCAGTAGGGTATTCCATGTAAAAAAAAAAAATCCCAACGCAAATAAGAAATATACTGGACCTATGTTCGTAGCGTAATGACCACAATGAATCCATAGTAATAACTCTAGATTTGGTGTGGCTTTTCGCTGCCCTTTGCCCGCGAAAAACCATAGAATGAGTGGTGTAGTCGAGATGCCAGTTGGCCATGTTTGAGTTGAAATGTCAGTATTGCTTTTGGTCTAGCTTTTTCAAAAAAAAAAAAAGTTTTGAGATGTTGGGATCGTCACTGTGAATACATCTGAAGTACCCCTACCAACTCGTTTGCAATTTTCCCCTAAAAAAAATCATTTGCAATTTGGACTAATCTGGTGGCCGGCCTCGTCAGATTGACGCGAGGCTGTGTGAGGGCTTCACCAACGCTACACGGTGGTGTGCTGCCCCGGCCTCCACGTCTTCACCCAGCCTCCATGTCATAGCACATGGTGGCCTTGCAGATTGGCAGAGACTCCTGCAGAGGAGTCGATGGTCTCACCAGACAAAAGCTACAAGCAGCGATCCGGCACGCGTTGCGGAGACGGAGCGGCACGGAGCGACCGAGCGACGGACCTACACGGAGACGGATATGACGCACATTCTGGGCCCGGTGAGGAAGCACGCCATCTGCAGCCTGCGTTGAGAGTTCTAGCAGCCATCGTCGATGTCTATGTGGCTGAGGCTTTTAGTGTGAGGCATACATGACTTGTGGCCCCACGTTGAAGAAGCCCTGTGGCGACTGCCCTCAAGCGTAGTGGCCCGGCGGTCGCCGACTCCCAACAACCCCCGGCGTAGCATGCGTGGCTGCGTGCGTGTCTACGCCAGCCATCGTAGCTAAGAGCCAACCGAAAACACCCGCCTCGGCCTCCGTCAGCCACTACTCAGTCCACTGCAGACACAGAAGTCACGCGTCGGCGTCGTGAAGCCATCGCGCGCTCGCGTCGCACTCCCCGCGGGCAAAGTTTTTCCCACACGCACCGCGTCGGGCAAAGTTTAATGCGGCGTGCGAAGGAGGCAGGAAGTTACTGCACGCCCTTCTCCCTCCGCGGCGTTCCCGACTTGCCGTCGCCCGTCTCCTCGTTCTCACACTCCATCCGTCGCCCACGAGAAAGCGGGCCGCGCACCGGCCACCGCCTCCGGCCTGACCTGACCGGCTTGCATCGATGGGTCCGCTACCACCCTACAACAAGAACTCTTCGTACTGCGACGGCGGCCCAGGCCCTCACGGGTGCCCGCCTGATGAGTTTCCAGCTCCACCGCCGCCTTACCCTCCTCCTCCTTCCCCGGCCTCCCACGGCCGCAGCACCTTCGTCACCGCTCTCATCATCGCCATCCCGGTGCTTGCCTTCCTCGCCCTCTGCCTCTCCATATTCATCTTCGTCCGGCGCAGGCGTCTGCGGCGAGAGGCGCTCCTCGAAGCCGCCCTGACCCCGGCGGCGCCCGCAACCTTCCCCGACGACGGCCCCGGGGAAGAAGTCGTGCACCACGTGTGGCACATCCGGACCGTTGGGCTCGACGAGGCGGCAATTGAGTCCATCGCGCTCACGCGGTACCGCGCCGGCGGCGGCGGCGTGCTCGGCGCCTCCGACTGCACCGTCTGCCTCGGCGAGTTCCAGGACGGCGAGCTCCTCCGGCTGCTCCCCAAGTGCGCCCACGCGTTCCACGTTCAGTGCATCGACACCTGGCTCCGCGCCCACGTCAGCTGCCCGCTCTGCCGCGCCGACGTAGTGATGGACCCAGCCGCCGCGGCCGCCGACGCCTCGGCCGAACAACCCCCGGGCGCCGATGGTGCCGACGCCTCGGCCGAACAACCCGCGAGCAATACCCGAACCATGGAACAGGAGCGGCGCGGTCAGCAGGCCAACGAGCAGCAAGAGCTACGTGTCCAAATCGATCAGCCCGACCACTCCAGCTCGCTGGACCGACCACATCGGCAGATTCGGCACCCCAGAGCACGGGCACAGAACTTTCGGCGGGTGGCTTCCATGGACTCGCCGTGGCCGCCGACGGCGTCAGCCGAGGAGGCTCCTGCAGACGAGCAGGCCGGTGCCGAGAAGCAGGCGACTGGCGGTGCTGTTTGCTGCGATGTGTCACCAGAACCTGGTCATCAGCTGAAGAGGTCATTGTCCGCCAGCAGCCGGTGGACGCTCCTCTCGCGGCATTGCCGCGCGCGCAGCTCGCTTCTGCCGCTGTGATGGAACGGGGATCTCTATTTCCTGCGTAAGGATGGATCTTGTTTCTGCTGATACTCTGTACAGCTTTCAAGTTCAGCGCAGAGGTTTGCTCTACAGTCACACCTGCATTTCAGTCAGGTACAGAAAAATGAAAAGTCTCGCTGGAGAATCACTTGTATACAGTACACCTCGTTTTTGAGACTTGTATTATGGTAGTATCAGCTTGTTCTTTGCAAGATTCAGAGGAATGCCTGGACTGATAAAAAAAATCCAAATGTTCTCCCTGTAACTGAAACTCCATCTATAGGTTCTTTCTTTTACGAGCACCGAGTTCAAGCTATTTTCGCTTTTCAGTATTTTTTATATATGCGGAAAGTTAAAAGTTATTCAAAGATTTTTATGGACAATTTCTCCTGGTGAATTTTCAAGAGAATTCCATGAACAACTTTTAGTGATAACTTCTATGACTACGAAATCGTTTGAGAGAATATCTCGATTTCCTTGGTATGACTTTCCATGCATATTTCTTTGAACAAAGGTTGTTTGAAAACATCTTTTTTTTCTCGATCACACAAAATGTTTGCGCGTTTTCGTATTAAGATAGAGAAAAACCTTAATACCGTTGAGAATTATTATTTAGTGCTCAATTAGGGATTAATCCAAGAGGTATCTTTTCACCCCTCTTTCTCTTTCACACTTATAACTGTTCACATGAGCTCTATATATATATATATGTACACACTGTTCTTTGGAATACAACACAGAATCATTTGCATCTCTCGCTTTTGTCTCGCTCTCTACTTCTAACACGTTATCACGCATGTTTGCTCTCCACTGGTTACGGGCCAGAAAGCAAGAAGACGTCGATGGCTGACGATGCGATTGCACGTCGTTTTCACTATAGACCGTCGGCGTCATCTCCACCAACGAGCAAGGCCAGAGAAGATCGTCGGCATCACTGTCTTTCCTGCGAGGCACGCTCCTCCGCTGAGACGAGTTCGCCGGCGTCGCTGCTTCTATTACAAGTCTAGACGGAACAAGAACAGGCGATGGTGTGAAAGCTCTAGTTTGGTTTTGGTGAATTAATAAAACCCTAAGTGCTAACCTAGTTTATCAAAGTGATTATGAGATAGATGACACATTCCAAGTGGTGAAGCAAATGAAGATCATGACATGATGATGGTAATGACATGGTAATGATTAAGTGCTTGGACTTGGAAAAGAAGAAAGAGAAAAATAAAAAGCTGAAGGCAAATGTGAAATTTATAGGAGCTTTTCGGTTTAGTGATCGAGACACTTAGCGAGTGTGATCATATTTAGGATCGATAGCCGTACTATTAAGAGGGGTGAAACTCGTATCAAAATGCGGTTATCAAAGTGCTACTAGATACTCTAACTCATTGCATATGCATTTAGGATATAGTGGAAAGCTAACAACCTTGAAAATGTTTGTAAAAATATGCTAATACACGTACACAAGGTGATATACTTGGTGGTTGGCACATTTAAGCAAGGGTGGAGAAGTTAGTGGAGTAAAGGAGGTGATTGTCACTACAAAACAGTAACCGGACTCGGGGGAGCAGCGCCCGGTCATTTATAAAAATCAGTGGAGTGCTCGGGCTACTCTCGGTCTGAGACCGAACGCAGGTGACTGGACTCTGACTGAACATTGTTCAGTGTCCGGTCCTGCTGATGTGGCGGCGCACAGAGAAAAGGATGAGTGACCGGACGCTGGGCGAGTCCAGTCGGGCGTGACCGGACGCGTCCGGTCACAAAAAACCATCTCTGGAACCTTACTGGAAACGACCGGACTCCAGTGATGGAGCATCCGATCACTTTGAGCAGCGCGTCCGATCGCAACTTAACACGTGGCGCGAAGCAGACTAGCCATTAAGATCAGGCGCTCAGCATTTGAAGCTGATGACACGTGGCGATCATCAGGCGGCTAGACGCAGGGGTCCAACGTCCGGTCTCCCCGAGTTGGGCTGCAGTGATAGCCTAACGGCTCTATTTCGTTGGGGGCTCTTTATAAAGGCATGTGGCTGGCTCTAGCTCAGGCTCTTGGCCATTTACATTGACATTGCAACCTTGTGAGCTTAGCCAAAGCCCTCCCACTCATCTCCATCATTGATTCATCATCTTTGTAAGATTAGGAGGAAATCCAAGTGCATTGCTTGAGTGATTGCATCTAGAGGCACTTGGTGTTCGTGTTTCGCTGCGGGATTCACTTGTTACTCTTGGTGGTTGCCGCCACCTAGACGGCTTGAAGCAGCGAGGATCATCGAGCGGATGTTGGTGATTGTCTTCGGCTCCGATCGCGGTGATTGTGAGGGGTCTTGTGTCCTCTCCGGCGGAGCGCCGAAAGGTAACTCTAGTGGATTGCTCATGTCATTGAGTTACCTCACTTGTGGGTAGGTTATTGCGGTGTCCAATTGTGTGGACGAGGTTTGTGCAACACCTCTTAGTCGCCGAACCAAGTGTTGGTCGACACAACGGGGACTAGCGTGCCAGCAAGCACGTGAACCTCGGGAGAAAAACATTGGCTGTCTCTTGCCCTTTGGAATTCTCCTGGTGATTGAATTAGTATTCATCTTGTGATTGGTTAACTCCTCTATGCGGTAGTATAATCACCTTACTTACTCATTTATATTCCCGCAAACTAGTTGCAGCAAGCTCTTTAGTGTAGCTAGAATTGAGAGCTTGCTTTGTAGCTTAAGTTCAACTAGTGGAGCTCTTTAGTGTAGCAAGTGTGAGAGCTCTTAGTGAGTAGTGACTTAGTAAATTGTGTCTAGTGATTATAGTAACTAGAATTGTTGGATAGGTGGCTTGCAACCCTTGTAGAGCTAGAGCAAGTTTGCTTTTTGCTATTTGTCATACTAATCAAATTGCTCTAGTTGGTTTGTAGATTTTTAAATAGGCTATCTACCCCCCTCTAGCCATATTAGGACCTTTCAAGTGGTATCAGAGACGTGGTCACCGTTTGATTGAACGCTTAACAACCAAGTTATGTTCAACCATATGGGGGGGGGCAAACCACCGTTCTTTGATGACACATGCTATGATTATTGGAAGAGAAAAATGAAGATGTATCTTGGTTCAATCAATGATCAAGTATGTGATGTGACCGAGAGTGACTATGCTATCATTGATCCCGACAATCTCACCAACCAAGACAAGACCAACAAGTAATGCAATACAATGGCTCTCAACACCATATACAATGCCATTGATTCCAAGGTGTTTGAGCAAATCAATGATTATGATAGAGCTAATGAGGTGTGGAAGAGATTGGAGGAAACATATGAGGGCACACCGGCGGTGAAGAGTGCCAAGTTGTACATCCTCAAGGACAAGTTGACAAGCTTCAAGATAAAGGATGATGAGAGCATTCCGGAGATGTTCCATCGATTGTAAGTGATTGTCAATGATTTTAAGGCATTGGGAGAAAATATCAATGATGATGATGTCTCTCATCGGTTCTTGATGTGCCTACCTCCAAGATTTGAGATGTTGAGATTGCTTATCATATGAGGAGGATTGAAGGAGATTACCTCTAACCAAGTACTAGGTGATGTCATGACATAAGAGACATACCATGTGGAAAGGGAGGGGATTGACAAGGATGACAAGAAGGAAGATGAAGACAAGAAGAAGAAGAGTGTAGCATTCAAGGCTAGCTCATCATCCAAGAACAAGGGCGAGTCCAAGAAAGAATCAAGTGATGATGATGATGATCTTAGTGACATTGATGATGAAGCTATGGCTCTCTTTGTGCGCAAGATGGGCAAATTCATGCAGAAGAAGGGCTATGGTGCAAGAAAGAGAAGAGATCACACCAAAAGCAAAGAATATGTGAGAAGATGCTATAATTGCAAGAGCCCCAATCACATTGTAGCGGATTGTCCCTACAATAGTGACAATGATGAGGATGAGAAGAAGAAGCACAAGAAGGACAAGAAGAAAAAGAAGGAGAAGAAGATGACCTTCCAAAAGAAGAAGAAGGGTGGAGGCTATGTGGTCACTTGGGATAGTGATGGATCTTCGGATAGTGATGGCTATAGTGATGATGGCAAGAAATCTATCAGGAAATCACTAGCAAGCATCGCCATCAACAACAAGCCCTCCATTTTCAACGCTCCATCGACATGCCTCATGGCAAAGCCTACCAAGGTAAAATATGATGTGAGTGATGATGATGAATATGAAAGTGATGCTTGTAGGAGTGATGATGATGATAATGAGGAGTACACCAAGGAGGAGCTCATGGATATGTGTGAGCAAGTGCACACTTTCTTTGAGATGAAAAGAAAGGAATGCAAAGAATTGTGCAAGAAAGTTAAATTTCTTGAGCAATCCTTTGATGAGCTAAATGCCACTCATGGAGGCTAATAGAATCATATGAGAAGCTTGGCAAAGCTCACTCTAAGCTTGAAAAGGCTCACTCCTCTCTCATCGAGCAAGTTAAAATAGAGGAAGCCAAGAAGGAGCAAGTGATTGTGTCTTGTGATGTGGAACTAACATGTGATATTATTGATGAATCTTTTTATAAGCCCATTGTAGTTGCTCCCACTAACCCCTCTTGTAGCACTTCTACTTCAACTTCACCTTTGAGTGATGGTTTCACTTGTGATGCCTCACTATTGGTGGAAAATGAGACCTAAAAAAGAAGGCGAATGAGCTTAGTCGTGCCTTAGGCAATGCCTATGGTGGAGATGCCCGCTTGCTAAAGTGCTTGGGTAGCCAAAAGTTTTCACTCAACAAAGAGGGATTAGGCTATACCCCCAAGAAAGACAAGATGACCTTTGTCACTACCAAAGCTAGCTTTGTGAAGGGCAATGGTCGATTTTGCAATAGATGCAAGCAAGTTGGGCATATAGAGCAATATTGCAAGACTAATGGTAACAACCATCGAGAATGAGTTTGTCGTTGTTTACCTTCCTCTCGACGCCTGTCCTTGCGGTTATTTTTCTGTAGCGTTGCGATCGGACCGACGGCCGGTGGTGACCATGGCCCGCTGCGCC